CACCCTGCCCTCACCACGGCCCTCACCACGCCTCACCACTGCCCTCACCACGCCTCACCACGCCTCACCACGCCTCACCCTGCCCTCACCACGGCCCTCACCAGGGCCCTCACCACGCCTCACGCTGCCCTCACCACGCCGCCTCTTGTGAAACGCGCTTTCCCCTCCTGCCCTGAACCTGCCAGTTCTCACAACGTTCTGTCGGCAGGTATGTGTCTGCCCTGACCACACTGCTTGCCTGTCCCCTGGGAAGCTCTGTCTCCCTCCCTCACAGCCTCAGGGCTCACCTTTTCTCCTGACCATCTTTCATGCTCCTCCCTTGACGCCTCACGTGCCGTGACCTTGGCCTTCTCTGTGTGCGTGAGGGTCATGTTCTGGGCGTCGGCCTCCCCGGCTAAGTTGCTGCCGTCTTTGCTGAGGCTGAGGAGTGGGCAGATGGCAGGGCCGGCGCTTGGAGCCCCTCTCTGGCCTGCATGCCTCAGCCCAGCACACGGCACCTGGGCTGCCCACTGGCTGCTGTCAGGCCTGGTGGATGTGGGGGGGCTGTCCGCTGGCTGCTCTCGGGCCTGGTGGATGTGGAGGGCTGCCCGCTGGCTGCTGTCGGGCCTGGTGGATGTGGGGGGCTGCCTGCTGGCTGCTGTCGGGCCTGGTGGATGTGGGGGGGCTGCTCGCTGGCTGCTCTCGGGCCTGGTGGATATGGGGGGCTGCCCGCTGGCTGCTATCAGATCTGGTGGATGTGGGGGTGCTGCTCTCTGGCTGCTGTTGGGCCTGATGGAAGTGGGGTCTACCCTCTGGCTGCTGTCGGGCCTGGTGGATATGGGGGGCTGCCGGCTGGCTGTCTCGGGCCTGGTGGATGTGGGGCGGCTGCCCTCTGGCTGCTGTCGGGTCTGGTGGATGTGGGGGGCTGCCCTCTGGCTGCTGTCTCCGGCCTGATGGATGTGGGAGGGGCTGCTGGGGTTCACGCTGCCTCGGCCTCAGCGTCATCTGTACTGTTCCCTCTTCAGGCTGCACACGGGCTGGTCTGTGCACACCTACCAGACGGAGAAGCAGAGGAGGGACCAGCATCTCAGCCCCACAGAGGTGGAGGCCATCCTGCAGGTCATCCAGAGGGCCGAGCGGCTGGACGTCCTGGAGCAGCAGAGAATCGGGTGAGCCACTGGAGCCAGCTGAGCGGGAGGGCAGCAGGGGCTCTGGTGACAGCCCTGGGGGCTGGGAGGCTGGCCCTCTGGCTCCTGCTGCTGCTTTTCACCTCTGGGAGTGGGTCTGGAGGTCACGGACTCCAGCCCGTCCTGAAGGGTGCTCTTCCTGAACAGCCCCGGGGCCTCAGGATACCCCTGTCGGAAGAGGCCAGCGGATGGGTGTACGCCTGGGTATGGACCGGAATGCTCACGGTGGTGAAGCGCCCCAGGGCTGCTGAGCTCTGCACACCTGCAGCTGTGCCAGGGTCAGCCAAGGGAGGGAGGGAGGTTTGGCTGCAGGCTGAGCCGGGGTCGCCCCTCCCGGCCGTCTGTGTGCACTTCTCCGGCCTGCAGCGTCCAGCCCCAACCACAGCTCGTCTTCCAGCACTTTCACTGCGTCCTGTGTTTAGTGACAAAGCAAGGCCTGTTTCCTAGAAACTCTGGAAACACAGAAAAGCAGGAGTAGGGGACACGGATGCAGGGCCTTGTTTGGAATTGATTTCATTCTGGTCTCCTGCATGGCTTGTATCTTTCTTTTTTTACTTTTGAGACGGGCCTCACTCTGTCGTCTAGGCTAGAGAGCAGTTCCGATCACAGATCCTGGCAGCCTCAGCTTCCTGGGCTCCAGCCATCCCCCCACCTCAGCCTCAAGTAGCCAGGACTATGGTGTGCCCACACACAGCTCTTTTTTTTTAGACATGGGTTCTCACTGTGTCAGCCGGGCTGGTCTCTAACTCCTGGGCTCACATGATCCGCCTGCCTCAGCTCACAAAGGGCTGGGATTACAGGCAAGAGCCACCCTGCCCAGCCTTCTTATCTTTGCAATGGGAGAAACAGGCCATGAGGGGTGGCTCATTCTTCAGCCGTGAGTCCACGAGTTCTCCCAGGGCATTCACTGGTCCCCGTGGGGCATTTCCCTGCCCCTCAATCTCCCTCTCCCTCCCTCCCCCCTTCTTCTCCCTCTCCCTCCCTGCCCCTCCAGCTCCCTCTCCCTCCCTCCCCTCCGTCTCCCTCTCCCTCCCTCCCCATCTCCCTCTCCCTCCCTCCCCTCATCTCCCTCTCCTTGCCTCCCCTCCACCTCCCTCTCCCTCCCCGCCCCACTATTTCCATTTCATAGCGCTGCTTTCTATCTGAAATCAGTCTTCTTGTTGACTTGCTCGTGAATTTTCTTCCTTACTAAAGGTACATTCCAGGAGAACAGGGACCATGTCTGTCTGGCTGGTTTGCTGCCATTTCCCCAGCCTCTGATGGATCCTAGGTGCTAGGTGAATAGTTGGCAAGTGAATGAAGGATTCACAGTTAGCCCGGGGAAGGGCAGGACGAAGAACAATACCCTCATGAGGGAACAGCCACGTGGCACGGTTCAGCTCTGGGCCTCGGTGGCAGCTGTGCCGGGCAGTGGTTGGGCTAGAGTGGGAGGTGCATTCCCTCTGACTCTGTGTCCTGGCTGCAGGCGGCTGGTGGAGCGGCTGGAGACCCTGCGGGGCAATGTGATGGGGAACGGCCTGTCCCAGTGTCTGCTCTGCGGGGAGGTGCTGGGCTTCCTGGGCAGCTCCTCAGTGTTCTGCAAAGACTGCAGGAAGGTAAGACCCTGCTCCTGCTCCATCCTGTCCTTCCGCCTTCCCAGCCACAATTCTGGACCAGCCCTGCTGCTCTGTGGCTTGTGCGCTGGGTTGTGGTACCCTTGACCTCTTGGCAAGGACGAAGGAAAACTAAATGTCCTGATGTCTAGGGCCGGCTCTGGGTCGTGTAGCTTGGGTGTATCTTCTGGCTCTCCCACTGGATTCACACCCGAACTTTGAGACCCAGTGCTGCTGTTAGAAGTCAGGGTGTGAATCTAGCTCTTCTTCTGTGACCTCACAAAACCTATTCACTATCTCAGACCTGAGGTTCCTCATCTGTAAAATACGGTAATGATACCATGCACCTCACTGTGCTCCGAGGGTTACGAATCATTAAAGGCGAAGCTCTTACAACTTTGCCTGGCACATAGGCGCTCAAATGGTATCGTCTCCAGAATATATTAAGGCAACAAGAAAAACATGTTTTTAGTTGTTATTGGATAAATCGTATTTTCCTCAAGGCCAGGTCGTATGCTAGGAGGCACTGTGTATTCTGTTGGTCTGCTCTGCTCTTCATCCCTGGGTACTCAAAGGAGAATGATCTTTGCAGGAGATCAAATCGATTTTCTCTTTATACTAAACTGTGTCACATGTTAAATTGTTTTGTAGTGATTCTGGGACTTTTCAAATACGACTTTTAGTTTTTTCTGGAGTTTCAACTTGCCTTTCTTTTTCTTATTGCTGAGAGAATAATGCTCCTTCCAATCCTCAGGATTAGTCAGCATCTCAAGTTCACTATCATAGGGAGCCTCTTTTTTTTTTCCTGGAATAAACCCTCCTAGATTCTCCCTCCTGCTCCCTCCTAGGCTGGTAACTGCACAGCTGTTATAATGGGACTCCCCTTTGCTACCCTCCTCGGTTAGACGCTGTTCTCTTTTTTGTTTTCATCTTAGTTTTGCTGGAACTCATCCTCAAGTAACTTCCATGGGCTAGTCATGGTTTTTGTTGTTGTTGTTTTTGTTTTTTAAGACAGAGTCTCACTCTGTCGCCCAGGCTAGAGTGCAAATGGCGTGATATCAGCCCACTGCAACCTCCACCTCCTGGGTTCAAGTGATTCTCCTGCCTCAGCCTCCTGAGTAGCTGGGATTACAGGCGCGCACCACCACACACAGCTAATTTTTGTATTTTAGTAGAGAAGGGGTTTCGCCATGTTGGCCAGGATGGTCTCCAGCTCCTAACCTCAGCTGATCCACCGGCCTCAGCCTCCCAAAGTGCTGGGATTACAGGCGTGAGCCACTGCCCGGCTGCTGGTCATGGTCTTAAGACTGGAGTTATTATACTAAAGAAGACAGAGAAGGAACTTTCTTGAGATAATAATGGGCAAGGCAACTTAAAAACAAGTAATGATCAAGTGAACAAGATGGTTTCAGGACACAGTAAGCGCTGGGAAGAAATAATGGGGGGTGGGGAGGTGGGGGATGGGAAGTGCTGAGAGGACCAGGAGAGATGGGGAAGTCAGGATAAATAAACATGGACGTGGAAGATGGAGGCCATTGGCAACTTGGTAAGGGCATTTTCAGTGGCATTCAAAAGCTCGATGAGAAAACCAAAGGTACAGTGAGGTTAATGTGCCCAGTTAGCAGGTGGGAAAGCCAGGATTTCAGCTGCGGTCATTTTTTTCCTGCTCTGTCATATGTGGTAAACCGGGCTGAGGAATGTGGATTAATTGGTCCAAGAATACTGGAGGGGAGGTGGGGGCTGGTGTCGGGCTGTGCTGGCTCCTCCTCCAGCCCTGCAAAGGCCCTGGACTACGGGTCAATGTAGGTGGGGGCGCGGGGACTTGGGAAGGTCCGGCTTCCAGGACTTGGGCGGTGAGGTTATGTTTTGTGACTCCTGCTGGGAGAACGGAACCTGGCAGCCTGTTTCCTCCTCTGTCTCTCAACCTCACAGCTGCTGTGAATATTCCAGATACAGGGGATCATAAAGAGGCACAGAGCCGGCCTGCTTCCCCCGGACGGTCCAGGGCCCGGGCCACAGAGGCAGCTGCTGGCCTGGCTGTGCAGCAGCTAACACAGCTGCTCCCTGGGGCCACATCTTAGGCAACAGTGGCCGTCCAGGGGAGGACCTCAGCTGGAAGTGGGTCCCCAGGCCACTCTGGAGCTCTGGGCTGCTCCAGGCATTTCCGTTGAAATGGTTCTTAGCATTCAGCAGGCTGAGGACTCAGTCCTGGCGTGGGTGGTGAGGCCGGAGAGCTCTGAGCTTCTGAGGGTCGTGTTCCAGGATGGAGGCAGGAAGAGAGGGTGTTAGGAAACACAGCTGGATGGTGGGCATTTGGGGAGTTGGAGGGTTCACACTTCCTTCTTGGAGGAGATTATGTGCATTCATTCTTTAATTAATAGCCCACTGTGTGAAGGCCCTGTTCTGGGTGCTGGTGATGCCGTGAACGAGACAGACAGTCTTCGCTGTCACGGAGATGACTTTCCAGGGGTGGGGTAATAGAGAAGACAAATGGAGCTCAGAGAGGGTCCCCAGAGCCTTTCCCTAGGTACGCTGCGTGGTGCTCTACTTCATGTTATACCACTCATGAGGTAGCACTCAGTACATTGAGGAACAGAGAAGACAAATGGATAAACACGAAGTAGCAATCGGACACCGAAAATTAATGCAGAGCGCATAGGGAGAGGCTTCTGGGCCCTATCTGACCTCACGCCCACACAGAGCACCTAGGGAGAGGCTTCGGCGCCCTCTCTGACCTCAGGCCATGTTCAAGGGACAGATGATGGCGTCTGGGACAGAGAGAGTGAGCGGCAGGTTGGCCCATCACACACAGTTTGCCAGCAAGGCCAGGAGTTGGGATTTCACCGGGAGTTTAACGGGATGTCAGTGGAGAGTTTTAAGCTGGGGTGTGATGGGATCTGATTTTAAGAGATGACCCTGGCGCTGGAGACAAGTCAGGTGGCGATGGCTGTCCCTGGGGGATGATAGGGTTAGGACAAGGCTATGCAGGGACTGAGGTCATTTGCTGAGACACAGCGCCAGCCTCTTTGGTGTATTCTGAGCAGATGGGGAGGAGTTAGAGGGTGTGAATAAGGGTTCTAGGAAGGAAAGAGCCCTGGACTGCAGGGGCCAGCCAGGGTGAGAGGCCGCTCCGTCCACCTGAGCAGAAGGGGGCAGCAGGTGCTCCTGGACTGGCCGGTGAGTTCTATACCCACGCAGACGAAACGCGATGCTGAGAGCTCATGACCGGATGGGAGGGGCTCATCCATACTTTGAGGAGTGACTCCATGTTCTGCAAGGGCCTGGCGGGGCAGCTTCTCTCTTCCCTGGCCCCAAGATTGTGAGGTGGCTGTGCTCTGAGCTGCCGAGCACGACAGACTTGGGTTGAGGTCCCCGCGTGGCCCCGGTGGAGCAGTCGTGGACAAGTCACTTCACATCTCTGGGCCTCTGTTTTGCCATCTGTAAAATGGAGTCATCTGTAAAATGGCATCATCAAGCTTCCCTCATCTTGATGGACGAGTGAGTTAGTGCAGGCGAGGCCTTGGCAGACTGCCCGGCCCATCACCAGCCGGCAGTGAAGGCGCCTGTGACTGCTGCTCACCCTCGCAGGGCCCTGCCTGCGGAGGCTGCACGCGTGTTATGAGGATGGAGCGGGTCCCGGACATCTGAAAGAGGCTGAGTGACTCCCTGGGTCATAACTCAGGCCGCCACAACAAAACGCCACGGACTGAACTGGGCGCCCTCAGCCGTGGACACATTTCATTGGAGGCACAAAACTGAGACCCAGGTGTTGGCTGATTCTGTGTCTGGTGAGGGTGCTCTTCCCAGCATGCAGACAGCTGCCTTCTTGTGGCCCACGTGGCGAGAGGAGAGGGCTCTAGTCTGTCCTCCTCCTCTTGCTTCTTGTTTTTTGACAGGGTCTCACTGTCACCCAGACTGGCGTGCAGCGGCGTGGTCATTGCTCACTGCAGCCTCCACTCCTGGGCTCAAGCAATCTTCCCGCCCGAGCTTCCCGGGTAGCTGAGACAACAGATGTGTGCCACCACACCTGCCTAATTTTATGTATTTTGTAGACACAGGGCATCGTTCTGTTGCCCAGGCTGGTCTCAAACGGGCCCTCAAGCAATTCTCCACCTCAGCTTCCCACAGTGCTGGGATGACAGACCTGAGCCACGCCCGACCTCTTCCTTTTCTTATGAAGATGCTAGTTCTATTGGATTAGGGCCCCACCCTTTTGACCTCATTTTACCTAAATTACCTCCTAACGACCCTCTCTTCAAATACAGCCCCTGGGGGACAGAGTTCAGCCCCCAGCACTGGAATTCTCTTTGTCTTAAACTTAGAACTGGAGCTCCCACAGTTGTCCCGTTGTGTCCGTAGTGTACACGAAAGCCCGGAAGCCTTTGTAGCTCCAGCACCGGATTCCCGAGCCGGTAGGGAAGCCCTCAGTTTCTGTGCAGGTTACTCAGTAAACGTCTCACTCAGTCGCTTAGCCTGCTGTGTGCCAGTCCAGGGTTAGGGAGATCCAAAAAGAGAGATGTTCAGAACGATCTCTTCCTGCATGGCCTCAAGGTCACGATGGGCAGATGGGATTCTCTAGAGTGACGTGCACCGTGGCTGGGACTGGAGTTCCCAGGACTCAGAGCAGCTGGGAGGGCTGCCTGGAGGAAGGGGCCCCTGAAGGCCAGGCAGGCTTCTGCAAGGCCGAGGGCAGAAGGAAGGGCGTCTGCGGAGGGGCAGAACACATAGGCTGAGGCTGGAAGCTGGAAACGGGCTGGGTTGGGCAAGCGCCTCCCTGGCTGGAGTGTGAGGGAGGTGCCCGCGAGGCAGAGGCGTGTGCTGGAGGAAAAAGCAACACAGGATCTGACTGGGGAGCAGTGACCTCGGAGGAGGGAGGGGCGTGCTCCAGCTGCCTCCAAGGCTGAGATCCCAGGGACCTGAAAACGGAGGGCAGAGCTGGGATCTTTGGGACGCTGAGCTGTAGGGGACTTGGGAGTCTTTGGGGCGACAAGCTGCATTTGAGC